GACATTCCTGCTGCATCTGCTGCCCGAGTTATGTCCGATAAACTGAGGATGGTCAAGAAGGTGTGCGCATGAGTACCTAATTTTCTTGTAGAAGCACGAACGCAGTACCTATTCTGTGCCTCTAGCAGTAGGGTTCTCAGCATGAGAAGTCATTCACGACTGTGAAAACGTACCCCGGCCCTAGATGAAATATGGGTGTTCTTGAACCTCGAGCCAAAACTCACAATCGTCAATTTTATATGAATGCAAATGAGAAGCCGCCGGAGCTCTGCCATGAGGAGTTACATGGACGATAGAGAATAAAGTCGTCGCTATTGGTATACATTGCCTGTTCTTCAGCAATCAGATCGACAAATGGATGGTACCACACAACTACAAGAAGGCCACCGCTGCTTGTCATAATGCCAGACCCCGAGAAACTGTATTAGAGCAGTGGATTGTAGGAAAATGTATTGGAGCAGTGGGTCGTAGGAAAATGGGACGATTGACCTCGTTAATGACTTGTCGCACCTAGGATTCCAGGCATAATTAACGAGCGAAGCGAAGCGACCTCATTAAGCCGAGGCAGGTCAGCCGAGGCATGCACGAGCTACCAAGATCGGAACAATTAGAAGCAAAGGAAAGGAAACATTGGGAAAGGAATATTGAGAGAAAACTCTTAACAGATCAAAAAAACGTGAGGATTTCCCAAAGGGAAGAAGGTTCACGAAAACAAGAAGCTAAATTCAGTATGACCGCCACGGTACCGCAATCCAAAGCGGCTCCCAGTTGATTGTAACTCCGCAGTGGAGGTACGTTTAACACCGAACTTTACGCCGCTAACACTACGGAAATTGTGCGGAAATGCTTCAACTACTGCAGTGTTGAAGGGTGGACGGGCATTTAGAACACATTTCGCTATGAATTCTTTTGCCTCGATAGGGAGTCTCTGAATGTTTGGCATATGGAAGGGAATTCACACCGCGGGCAACGCTTCCTTTCAAGTATTTGGATTTGGAGAATAAATACATGAATATAAAGAGCCAAATTACCTTACTTAAAAAAAATTCTTTAACAAATGCTTTATCAGCTTACCAGCCGGCTTTGCCGGCTGATGCCGGCGCGCGTCCTTCCGAGATATAAGCGGCTTCGCCGGTCAGAACCGCCGCCCTTGCCTTTTTCCACATATTTCAATACCCAGCTAGTATCCGGCTTTTCTTTTATGTGAGCAAATGTTCAACTTCTCTGAACAATAGCATCATACCTGCATTTTCAACGCTAGTACGGTGTATGGAATGGTGGTAAGGTTATTTTGTGTTTTATCGCGATCAAATCACTGCCACTATTTGATACTGCAACATGTAATGGATCGCCAGTTTTGCATACGGTCGATCCCTCTTCTGTTCGCCTATCACACTCCTAGACGCTCCACAGTCGCTGCGTGCGCCTGCTCAAAGGGGAGCGGCGGTGATTCTGGTATACCATCGCGCTACCCTCCCACTGGTTCGCCTCGCCAGCCTCCACGGGCTTCGTCCAGTTTCCGCGCGAGAAGGTTCTGAAGTGACTCGCAGTGTACGAAAGGTTATGTTGTATAGTTGGTATTATTACAATCAAAACAACAATTTTAGTTTGCTAATATGGAATTAGCTTGCAGTTTCGCTAGCAGTTGCTTCCTACACTCTGCTGCCATGCTCCTGTTCAAGGCGTGCGCTACGCGTCCGCTCACTCACATACATATTTCAAGTCCGGGTGAGCAGCCCAGTGTAGGACTCAATGAGTGCCGTTTCTCCTCCCCTCTCTTCCCACCCCCCACCCCCCCCCCAACCTATTCCCCGCACGACTTCACGTCAAGCCGCTCACGCAAGCGCTTGTGAGCTTGTTGCTCGGTGTACTAAATAGTTTGTGTTGTATAGTTGAGAGTATTATCACAACTAAAAGACATTTTCGCTTGTTACAGTAATGTGATTTATTCGCAGCTTAGTCAGCGGTTCTTTCCTCCTCTTTGAGCCTGCTATCCAAGCGTGCGCTACGCACCTTCTCACCGTCCCGTTCACTCGCTTCCCTCAAGCGCTTCACGTGCATGTTCCCAGGCCCGGCTGAGCACGTCTGGTGGAGGAAGCAGGGGGGGGTATCCAGTCCCCGCTCCCATCCTGCCCTCGCACGCGCCTACGTCCAGCTAGCAACGCGAACAACTTGTGCAATGGCTCGAAGTGTACTAAATGGCTGTCTTATATGCCATGATAGGGTATACGCAATCGAAACAACATCTTAGGGCGTTTCATGATCATCATTAAGCTGCTTTTTTTCTAGCGGTTGTTTTCTATTTGTTGTTGTTTCTGATGCTACCGCTCGAGCGCTACGCGCCCCTCACCGAACCCCCTCCCCTCTACTTCCTTCCCTTGCACATGCCAAGGTCCAGCTGAGCACGTGCAGGGGTTGGAAGCAGAGGGAGGGGTCACCACTCGTGTGCCCCGACCCTCGGCTTCCACCCCGCCCTGCCCCCGCACGAGCACACGTCCAGCTGCCATGGCAGCAGCTCGCTGCAATGGCTCGAGTGTACGAGTGGTTGTCTTATATATGCTGTTATCACAATCAAAACATTGGATTGATACATCTGCACCGATGAGTTCGGTTTAGCTAGCGGTCGTTTTCTTCTTTCACTAACGCGCGTGTTTAAACCCTAAAGCATTTTGCGGACGGACAAACATACAAACCGACATACAATACCTACATACCGACAACCGACACACAAAGTTTCTGCTTTATAGAATGTAAGGATTCCATGAATTTTCACCATGCACTCTTGTAGAGAACGTTTGTGTTGAAAATTTCTAACATAATTTACCGTCACATCTTGGCGGTGTTACAGAGAAACTGTGCCCCGCAGTTCCTGTCCCAACTTTGGCTCTCTAGTTTCCACAGTAATGTTTGTTCTATGGGAGGATGATTTCACAATTTGCAACTAGGTTTTGAGGTAAAAAACTATTCCATTCGATGGTTGAAAGTCGTAGTTATGGACGCGACCAACTGCATGCAAGTACCACCTAACCACCTATTCCACCTTTCGAGGCGATGAGGCTAATAAACGACAGCAGTGCCATATCAATTTATTGTTTACTGAAGCGACCTTGGAAAGCCGTCTCTATCCCACATTGGTTAGCACCACGCGTGCAGCACCGTCAAAGTGCTTGAAGCAATGGTAGTACAAAGATAGATCGGGCCCATCCTCTCATCGAAATGAAAAACATCCGAAACGCACATACTTTTTCCTCCACCCACAGAAATAAAATATCGGTGTAGTTTCAGCGTCCGTTCATTCCTTTGAACAATGTGGTTGGTCAACAATCCGTAACTTAGCACGCAAATCCGCATAGCCCGGCTTCTCCAGCATGTCACAGAAGGAGGAGCGCCCGGCGACAGCTGGGCGATCCGACTAGTATGGGTAGATCCCAGTTCCTTTATGACGGCATTTTCGAAAACCCTATGAAATGGGTAATGATACGAAAAGTAGATATACGATGTGATTCTATTTCATTTTATGCATGAACCCAAAACAGGACGGTTCACTGCAATGCAACAAACGACTGAAGCGAGCGATGACCAATACCGTGGTAGGCCTCCTTCATTCAGTTTTCCACTATATTCGTCTGATTGTGAGCTTGAACGACATAGAGTTCTTGAGTTGCAAACAGCTTTTGTTGTGAGACTAGTGACTTTGGAAGAGAAGTGCACTGGTGCGATGAGTGCAGTAGTCCTCTCAAGTGAATAGTCCATGGGTGACCTTGGTTATTTCCATTTACTATAATCAAAAAAAACCAAATTTAGGGCAACACAACCTCTATATACCGAGTGATAGGCCTAGAATAGCATCAATTTCCGCCGAGCAGTTAGAGGCGTACATGGTCGACCGGAGCTTTCCAGCTTATCGTGGGCTAATGTGGTGAAACAGGATTGTCCCAACTGCGATCAACCACTCCAGGCTACGTAGTCATACAAGATGGAACTGAATCACTTCGTAGTGTACCATATCGTTCGTATCCTTGCCCGATATACTACACTCTAGTTCGCTGCGGATCTACCTAACCTAAAGCCAAAAATTGCATTTTATCTGTTTTCCTTTTTTTATATGAATAAAACCTTCCACCTTTTTGATTTTGATGACCTGGTACTTCTCACCCGGGTTCCACCAGCTGACTAGAGGTACACTCTAGTTCGCTGCGGACAGTTGGGCGTGTCAGGCAGTATTAGTGTGTCACCCCGTCAAAGCCGTTTTTTGCCTTCTTGTTGAAGCACGCATGCGACAAAAAGTGGTACAAAACGAGTCATACGAAGGATATGATACAGTCATATCATTTGCTCGCTTCAACAACTGGTGGAGAACGAGTTGGGCACCGCGCCAAGCTCATCCCGCTTGACACGCCCAACCGTCCACGGCGAACTACAGTAGACTAACGGGAAATCGCTACGTTATCCCCACCATTGAGCGAATTACAGTTGGTTAATAGTGAGTCTTTTCCTTTTTTTTTCACCAGCTTATAGCTCTATCCCTCTACGGGATCGTACTTCAATAGGTCTAACTTCGCACATCCTTTGGTTCAGTTGCGTTGTACCTCGAAAATGCTGCCTCACCTCGAAAATTTGAGTTAATCGTCCGATGTTTATGACCCTCTCGTTTTCTTCGATTCTCCTATGCATCTATGTTGGATTATCCTTTACAGTTAGCCCCAACTCATCAAAAACTGGGGGCTGAAGTTGTCACGGCAGTCACCTTGCTGATTTCATAGTCGTATCGCTAAAGGTAGGGGAAGGAACAGCGCAGTTCTTCGGCGCAAAAGAAACAGCGCAGTTCTTCAGCATGCTTGAAGAAACTCTAGCATAATAAGCATATGGAACGTGCAGAAAACGAAAACTGTCTTCTGCATTACCATTGTTAATCCTTAGGTCGAAAATAATAATTACTGATGCGCGCTTTAGGCGGCGGTTTTAGAGTAAAGACGGGAACTATGAGAGTGGTCATCACCCTATGGATTACTCTGAACCACAAGAATTGGATACCACATAAACTCAGCGATGTCAGCAAAGCAGCCTCCACGCAAGCGCTCGGGAACAAGTGACGCAGACAGATCAGTCCAATGCGACACGTTTTGTGAAGAAAAAAAAATTGGAAATGCCGAAGAAGTTTGATTGTGCGTTCGACTTTTCCACTCACAGCCAAATGAAATCTTGGAGCATCGACATTCAAGAGAAAAACAGTGACGGTACGTCAATGACAATGGAAAATACATTCTGAACTGCTATTCTAATGGTTTTTGTAACAATTTCTTTCGAGAAATCTTTTCTTATTGAAGCAGCTAAGTATACAAACCAGTACTATTACCTCGTATTTTACAAGTAGATCCGAAACACGATCGTACTCATTTTGAAGAGATTCTGCCTGTTTGCGCAAAGTGTCACGATCAATCTGCGTCTTCTTTAGCTCACTGCCTAGCTCCTCTATCTTGCGGTTGAGGTCAGCGATCTCCTCGTCGCCACCCTGCAACTTTGAAATATTGACAAAAGTAAAGAGTGCATTCATGCTTTGTGAATGGTCGCACTATGCGAGCCCAATGTGCGTTTCTCGGAAAAGTGTATGGGATGGAACGGGAACATTGTGGAGGGTGAAAGGAAGCAAAAACCACTGCTCAGTATTAAAAAGGAGCCTTAGAAAGGGAAGGTCACCATGTTCATCGCGGTGTAGTTGCAATGATGGCACCGTTACACATCCTGACATAGTGTGGGAAGGGAAATAGATGGTGCGTGACAGATAACATGATAACAACTAATGGAGGATGATAGCGATATTTTGTATGGCAAAATCCGCTACGCTTCACGACCATAACACCACAGATTCAGTTCATTATCATCTAAAAGCATCTACCATTTCCAAGTAAGGCGGACCATTTACCGGTCGAAATCCTTTACAATGGTAGCAGCATCAAAATGCGTTGCGAAGGTTTTCGCCGTTTCGATAAAACAGTGCAATTACACATATTCATTTAGTGTTGGCTCTTATCACGCGTCACTGACAAACGTGGCAGCGTGGTCGAGTGGGTACGTTGTAGGTAGCACAAACACACGGTTGAGGGTTTGAATCCTTAATGCACTTCCTGTTTTGCATTTTTTCGGCAGTGGTCTCTGCACACTCAAAGGCATTCCCACGTAACTTTTGCGCTTGGTAATGTCGTGACGTAATGTATCTGAATCAATAGACTTATTGTGGACGATTCCATGGAAGACATTTTTGACTGTTCATTTCTTCTTTACTGCTTCAATGAGCTCATTTTTTTACAATAGTAATGCAGTCCGACAAATGTGCCTGCCTTGAAAAAGGGCTTTATTCTCCAAACGACACGGCTGGACCCGAAATTACACGAAGTTGTGCGCGAAGATGAGTATACTTGGAAAGGCTTTTTCACGACGTGGCTTTGACGTGTTAATCTTGTCAGAAATCACGATGGGCGAAACCTTCATTTAACTCACATGGTGTTGAAAGATTTTCTATCCCAAAGTGGTGCCTTCGCGCCTGCTGAAGTCTTTGTGCGACAAATTTAACAGCCAGGAGTGTTGAGTTCTGCATGGAATCGTCTACAATGGCTCCATTAGTTCAAAGCATACGCTGACGACATTATCAAGCATAAGAGCAACGCAAAAATGCTTTCGAGTGCACAGACCACTGTCGAAAAAAATGCAAAATAGAGCACGCAGCAATGGTGCAAACCTTCAAGCATGTGGTCGTGATACCTAAGACGTATCCACTCAGCCACGCTGCTTCGAGCGAGAGAGCCGTACTTCGCTAATTCGTATTGAATGCCAGTATGTTTCCCTTGAAAAAGGTCCTGTAACTTCGCTCTGGGAGGTCCGCAGCAGACATGAAGGACAGTTTCGTAATATCTGTCCAAAGGCCTTCCAGTGGATATGCGTGTGTCCCGGGACCAAGGCGATATTATCGTCGGCAAGTCAAGTCACATCGCGGCGTATCGCGCGGCGGCGCGGTGCGACAATTCCGGAGTTCCATTACCGAAATACAAATGAGTCTCGAAGACCGCGTATTCACAAGTTCCGAAAAGCCCAAAATTGGATCAGTAATTTTGAACAAACGTGGGACCAGTCTTACACCCTTTACTTTTGAACGCGAAAAAAACAATCACTGATCATCATAGGAAAATGGGACAAGCAGTACAGGATTAACATAAACAATATGGCCTGATGATCATTTTAACGATTTCAACGAGCACGAGCAGCAGGACTCGTACGCGGCGCCCACCAGCGGGGCGACCTCAAATGGCCACTTGGATCTACCATCCTTTCCTTGAAGCGTCTGCTTTTTGCCGGAACCTGATAGTTTATTGTTTCATTCCTCCCCGATAGCAAAAATGAGGCTCTGATTCTTGATATGCTAGAGGAATGAAACGTGTTCCCTTACTGATTCTTTTAATACGTGGACTATGGTGATCGCAAGAAAGTGGTGAGGAGGGCAAATAAGCGAATTGATAACTGACTCTCATCAGCTCTAATTGGTCAGTTTACCTGAAAATAATTATCAATGTCCCCTCTCCACCCCATTTATCACTTGTTGGGGCCAACTTTCCACTGCTGCTACTATGCACGCAATCATTTTTGCGAAGCTTCCATTCTCCCCTACCCCTCTATCAGCTCTTTTCAGCTGCTGTCAGTTTCTGTCATCCAGCACAACGCTTCCGTCCTCCCACTATCACTTGGATCAACTTGTCACAGTAACCCGCGCTATGAACTTCGTAACCCTCCCCTTCTAGGGCCTCTCAGTTGACACTTCCTTCTGTGATACATGTTCCCGTCCCACAGCCTACATCACTTATCAATTCGACTTCTTTGTGGCTCATCCACCGCAGAACGTTACTATTTCACACGATCAAAAATAGTATTTATTTTCTGCATTGCTCGCAAACGTTTTATTCCATTTCCAATGGAATGGTACCATAAATCAGATATGTTCATCAATGTTAGCTTCACATTGAAACGATCATCGCTTGGAGATGCACAAACAGCAGAAAACTCACTGCATTCATGAGGGTCTTTGCTGCTTTGGAAGCACTTTCAGCTTGACGCATGGCTGCTTCACTAGCAGCTTCCAACTGCGCACTTCGACTGAGTAGCCCCATGATACGCTTGATTACGCTGCAAAATTTATATGAAAGAACTACTGTCAATTTATCTCACCATCAAAGAATCCTAAAAAAAAAACGCTGTAAGCGAACCTGCGAGGTAGATCTCTTCCCCAAGCATGGTTAACAGACCACAAATATCGAAGCGTGCTACTATCGTCATACGAGAATGCGCGGCAATGAAGCTGGGGAGAAGAATAACCGAATGTTTTTTCATAACTCCACCCCTACATCACAGCATGGGTTCATAACATGAGTCGCTGTACCTTTGATCAGGCCACATGCATTACTTATGCGCACCCTCCCACCTCCGACTGGGTTCCCTACAGCTCTTCCACTGTGTATGTGGAAAGCGTGCCAACACAGTTATCGCGAGAACACAGTTGCTCTGGGTTACACAATGAAAATGACGGCACGATGCTTTGGTATGTAGCGAAATATCTGCAAAAACGTTCCATTCAAACGTCAGAGGGAGCGGCGAAGTGGGGTGTGCCGCCTAGCTGCACGCCGATAGCACGGCGTCTTGCGCGCCTATGGCGTGATGAGCATACGTGCGCCTATGGCGTGATGAGCATACGTGACCTAAGTTACGAAAGGATATCCAGCTATCACTTTCCTCCGCCTTCAATTCTTTGAACTTCAGAACTATGATACTGGCACGCTCTGAGATGCGGATCTGTTCACCTCAAATTGGTATTGAAAAGACCAGTTTCGCAAGTCAGCCCACCGCATGACTTTAACAAATAACAGTTGGCATGGGAGAACGTACAGGAAAAGTAGAAGAGCAAATCCAGAGATGTAAAAGTTTCGTTGTGCGCGGAACAATCTCATATGAATGATAGCATCGGCATCTGCAGCATGACGTACAGAATTGTCCATAGCAAGTTCAACGTGTGAGTATTTGTTGACTTCACGGACAGCATCTGAAATATTTTCTCACAGATTTTGCTGTAGCAGCTCAGCTTTCGCTCTTGAACTTGAAACTTTCTCTGTTCTCTTTATTTTCGACTAATTCTCGCCGTTTCTCTTTGGTAGTAGAAATGACATAGGTATCCAGTAAATAATACGTTTTATTAGCCATCTAGTGAATAATACCGTTTTATACCAAAATAACTGCATCCACTGCTGGAGTTAGGATTGCTATCTGCTTCAAATAGTTTCTCTTGATACTTTGATTTGACTTATTTCTCACCGACAACAGCGTCCCTGCCACGCTCTTTGACAGATTTCATTGGGCAGGGTGAATGAGAAGAACAACGGTATTGGTGCCCTCATCGCTCGGGTTCTGTGAATGTGATGCAAAACCACTACAACCGCAGACCAAACAAATCGCTCGCGGAAGAGAAATTACATCGCAACTAATTGCCTCGAGGTCGCTTTCTTGCATTTCGGATTACTGGAATTGTGGCCTGTATACTTGCTCGTAGAGGACATTTGAGCACAGTTCGACGGGGGAGCATTTTGAACTTTCACTGCTTCCCAGTGTCATGTCGAGCCATCAAGTAGAGGTTCGTGGAATCTTGCAAAGCTGTGGAGTAAGAGTAGCCGAAGTTTGTAGAAAGTACTAGAACTTTTGTATATAATACCTGTCAACTCTTGAAGGTCAATGAACATGACAACGGAAAGCAGCGAAAGCTCCACCAAGCAAGGCAATGTAATGCTGAAGCAATGCTCTATTTCTCTATAAATTCGATATAGGACGTCCTCCATGGCTTGGTGAACACTATGCTTGTGAGCAAAAATGGACGAAATATGTGCAAAAAATCGACCAACCTGCGAATAGAATGAAGAGAACGAAGGCTCCAGTGTAGGAATATATCTGAGCGTGGGCACTCAGTGAGATTACGATGCGACTCTTGAACAGCTTGCTCCATCTGGAATAAAATTCATCATTTTAAATACTGCTCGTAACTGGTGAAAAACGCTAGTAGCCGATAAAAAATATGAAGTTGTTCAACCCCGCAGCAAGTTTTTTGTTTCTAGTAAGGCACGTAGTAGCAATATAAATCAAGAAGTTTGATCATGCTGCACACTCACAACTTCGGAAGACTCGACATGACTTTTGGAGCGGTTCGGCTGCGGAGGGGATCATAGATTCTGTGCATACTCTTCACGAATAATGATACGAAAGATCAGATAAGCCGTCTCAATACAAGAATAATACCTCTCTCATGTCAACACTATAAGAAGCGTCCAGCTTCTCTCTTCATAAAACCTCGGCATTATTTTGAACTTTTGAAATGTAATTTCATCTGCAAAGAAGTTGAGGCGGACGACTTTATTTAAATGGTCTGACGTTTTGACAGGATCGTTTGCTCACAGGCCAGTCCACCACCACATAAGCAGAACGATGCCACTCGCTGTTAGTTTTGGTTAGTAAGTTTACAGAAGTGGTTGGTTACAATCATGGTTTTCCGTCTACAATTGACAAGAAAGGAATCAAACTGCCCATGGTGCGTTGATGCAATTTAAGGCTGAAAGCTGGACCTGTAAAACCTCTGCAACAAAAAGTTGCTGGACCTGTAAAACCTCTGCAACAAAAAGATGCGTCTTAAACGGAAAGAGTGCCTGGAAACAAACAAAATTACCTGGAATAGTTACGAGGTGGTGTAAAGAAGAACTAGGAGTCAGGTGACCCACTTAACGTGGAGAGAGGAAACCATTTTTCCCAGAGTTTCTCTTCCTTCTCCTATCCACCTTGGTGCTACTTCCCCCAGGGATAGGCTACTTTCCATTCCAGTGGCACAACTCATATTTCCACCATCCAGCATCCTATGTCTTGAATATGAAAATTCTGACTGCAAATAACCGTTGCGGTATCTCCATATAAAAAATTGGACATATGGTTAGCGCATTATAACATGACGTATCATATCAGCCATTGTCCAGGGGGAGAATGCACAGACGCCTTTTCCAAACGATTAACGTCCAAGTTAGAATATCTGAACTTCCCCGAGGCATCAACAGACCCCAGATTATAATCAGAGCAGAGCCAAATTTGACAGTCTAGAATATCGAACATGGATAAATGGACTTTAGCGGGATTTACTTCATTAGGCTGCAAAGTCTTGTCACTATTGTGACGCTTTTCTTTTTTTATTTTCCAACTCAACATGAAAAAAAATTAATCAACTATGTAATCGCCATTGTTAAGCCACTACAGTGCTCCACCTTATGGATGAGTCGGCGATCCCCTTTTCACAGAAGTGGGGAGACTGCGAGTCGAAGAAGTAGGCAACTTCTCGACTAATATCATCAAACTCGCAGGTTTTCTTACCTAGGAAGGCCTTGAGGGGGCGGAACAGGTGATAGTCGGAGGGGCCATGTCAGGAGAATATGGTGGGGTCTCTCAGCCTGGCTCTCAATTTTTCGGTGGGTCTCTTTAGCCACATGTGGTCCGCCGTTATCATTAAGGAAGTTCACCGAAGTTGGTCGCGGCCGCTTTGCTCGAACAGCTTCCGCGAGTTTCTGGAGTTGGGTGGCATTGACGTTGAAGTATGAGGCATCCATCGCGTAAGAGGACTTTTCTGTAGCCAAGGACCTGAGAGCTTTTAAGGGGCTACACCCGAGACTTGTCGCAATACTGCGGGTGTAGCCACAGTTTCGAGAGCGGCAGAATCTTCCACGTCGTGAGGGCGTCCCGACCGAGGTTTGTCTTTGAAGATCGTGTCTCCTTTCGCGAAGCGAGCGAAATAACGGTGCACGGTCCTGATGATAAAGGTGTCCCCCCAATGCATTGTTGACGTTACGGACAGCTGTCGTCGCTCCAGTGCCGCGGCGCCGCTCATGGAAGATGGTCACTGGACGCTGCCTTGTGAAACTGACATCGTAAATAATCCCAGGGAAGAGCAGGCGCCAACTTTCCTTCCAGCCTATTAATTGCTAGAAGATAATACCGGTGGTAAAGACTACGGGTAGTAATGTCTAATCGTGAATCAATATTTTATATGGTAGGGAGTCACTAAGGTCTTGTTCATACTCTGCGTCAGTAACGCGAGGGTACGGCAGCGTTTCGAGCGTGCGTACCAGCGCCAGCGACTAGGAAGATGTAGGTATCGATATGGCGAACGGCAGCGGAAAGCGTATGCCTGCGTCTAGCAGCGTTTTCGCTGGCAGTTTTGCTCAAGCTCAAATTCTTTGGGTCACGCTGGCCTTTGCTAGATCGATATCTATACTTTTCTAGTGGCTGGCGCTGGCGAACGCCTCAAATAGCACCCCTTTGGCAGTCACGTAGTCGCATTGGGCGAATTTGAAGGATGTGCTGGCAAATCTATACGCTGCACCTTCCGTACATTCTGTGATTCATAAATAGTTCCCTAGCATCACTCAGCGCTGAATGTCATCCAGCACCAGAAACTGAATGTGAGCTCTAAAGAGACAACAGCCTGCAGACACTCCATAGAAAACCGGGGTTACAGTAACCCACTAAGCACTAAAGCAATTAAATACTGGTGAATTGAGGTAGCACTAGAACACATCTTAACATGCAAGGCGGGCTGCTTTTGTATGAGCTTCTTTTCAAAAAGTCCCAAAAAAGCAGCATTGCAACCTTAGCGAACAGCACACTCAGCACACTTTTCTACAATGGAGGAGACACCAAAGGGAATAGCATAGCCATATCGCCAGCTGAACAGTTCGAAGACTGCGTCTCTGCTGAGAGCAGAATCAGCATCGAATCCTGCTGGACATTCATTTTCGGTACTACAGGTTTCCGGCACTTCACAGGGCAGTTACGACACGTAACACAGCTCACTGTTGGTGATTTTATTTGACATGTTTGGTGGTTTTGTCTTAAATGGAGTATGCAGAGAAGCTATTAGGTTGATGCATAAGTTTTCAACCCCGACTTTTTTTGTAAATATCTCAAAAGCGAACCAGCCTGAAGATTAGAGGTATACAACATCACCATCCACTACTCGACGTCAGCGCTCAGGCAGTTTGTCGATTCCATCCTTCCAGAACGACGGGGGCTGGGACTTTAAGAAGTCGTCGAGTGGTCGAGTGCCTTTCTGATCTGATCCTTTGTTTCGAAGTTTTTTCCGTCCAGAGGGCGCTACAGTGCAGGTGGCTAAACAGCCAGTAGTCAGAAGGAGTGAGGTCGTGCTGTGGGGGGGGGGGTGTGCGACCATCAGCCATCCGTACTTCTCCAACTCGGCCTGGGTCGCCTTTGCGGTGTGAGGTCGGGCGTTGTCATGGTGGAAGTAGATTTCCGCACTCGACGTGATCTTTCAATTTCCGCAGCTGGGTAACGTATATGGGAGCGTCACTCGTCTGTCCCTTCTCCAGCAGCTCCCAGTACTCCATGCCTCTTCTCGACGACCAACAGGACAGGAACCTCTTTGGGGTGAAGGTCGGCCTTTGGGGTGGCTTCTGGCTGTTCTCCTTTGTCGACCGACTGCCGCTTCCTCACAGTATTATCATATAGGACCCTCTTCTCATTTCCAGTGATCATCTAGTTGAGAAAGTGAGGCTTCTTTTGTGAATCGTGAAGCAAAACCAGGTAGTGGGGCAGGTACATTCTGTCACAGTGGTAACTGTGCGACACTGTGACCTGCAAATGCAAGGTGGGTGAGTGATAGCTAGTGTGTTAAAAGCACACGTCACGCACACTTGATGTCTAACATCCATGCAAACGAAATACGGAAGGATCAAACACGGGGTTAAAAACTATGCATCAACCTATTTAATATATGATCGGTTTTCACTTGTTGGTATTTTTTTTTTTCCTTTTTTTGTTTTTCTAAGTTGTGCTATTGCACTCTAATGAATGAATGAATGAATGAATGAATGAACTAAAAGAACACTTACATGGTTGGACGAATCCAAGGTAAAAGAAGAATGAATGTGACAGCAATTTCAAAATACAGAACAGCAGCAATTATAGTCCACTGGAGAGTCATCACGTACTCGATTTGGCAAAGATGAACTGCAAACAAGCATTACTTGATTACATGACGTGACTACAAGCAATGATCCTTACAAGCACAATTATTAGGCACATTGTTGAAGAAGTATAGCAAATCGCATCCAATCGATTTCTGTGACGCTCAACAATGCAGAAATCCAAAAAGCTTTATTTTTCCAGAAAAGAAAATAAATGAATTGAAGCAGGCGAAGCAACATCGGAAACATCATACTACAGTCCTGCTGTTAGGTCGGGTTCACAAAGGCTGTAATCGCTCTATCTGAAAGGAAATTATACAGAAGCAAGGACGTGCGCCTCTGCAATGGTCGAACACTGCTGCAGACTCGTTCACAGTGGAACAAGCTGTTATATAAAAATAAATCCAATATAGTGAACGATCGAGGTGACCACATGTGACCGCAAACATCGTCAATACTCTCGTCCGGGATGATTAAGTACGCACTTCAAAGTCAGTAGAACTTGCGACGCAAATCGCTGTGGTCTGCACCATAAGGAACACTACAGGATCAGTATTAATGTTGTAGTGAACTATTTATGACTGAACATATCTTCACCATGATTGTGTGATAGGTTGATAAGCGAAAAAAGGACTGCGACAGTGGCGAGCGTTCAATCGATACCACATCAATCCACTATCGAAAGTACTCGAGATGGACAGCTGTCCCAGCATGAGAAGAAAACGGGCCACCCAGCATCATGCTCATAGGTAGCGATATCTCCTACTGTCACGAACGTGTTCCTAATGCTAGAAATGGTGAATGTGGTGTAGAGAAGCAAAGGACAAAAATCAACTGGGAAATCGAAATGACTCCAAAGCGATAGTATTTTTTAAGTCGAAAAATATGCACGAATTCAACAGTTCCTAAATGCTAGTGTTTTTTAACAGAGTGCATGCAACTTGCTATAGTCTCGCGCGAAGGACTAATCACAGCGAAAGAAAGCAGTTACTATAGCAGCTTCATCCTGGAAACGTGTATGCTCCATTGCATTCAGAACTACGAATAAAACGAGTAGCTCTAAAAACATATTTTTGAAGAGCAAAGTCGCAAATGAACATAGAAGATATGCTCAGCAACTGCGCCACAAGCGGCGCTAAAGAGAAGGAACAGGGAAAACGCGTACATCTCAACATTAAACGACCGTAGGTAAATTACAGCAGATAAAAATTCACCAGATATT